AGATATGGGTAATAGTGGACGTATACCGTGCCCATTGAAATTCAGTGCAAATGTGCATAACATTGACATCAATACAATTGTATTATTTGCTAACATAGCCAACAAATAAACTGATATGAAATCATTGAAACGTTTAACAAATTTACAGATTGTGCGAACCTTTTGGTAAACAGTATTTATGTTTAGCGTTACGTTTGAATCAAGAATATTCTGTATCTGTTTAGAGATAATAATACTCTGGTATGCAATCAATGAGATGACCGTAAACTGTATGTTAACCGAAAAGTAACACATAATTATACTGGTACTGATAAATGAAATAGACATAGGGGTAATAATTATTGTATAGATAGGCAGAATTGATGATATTATTGATAAACCAAATTGAACCATGGTAACTCGTAAGCCGAGCCTGTGTTCATACTGTTTGTCAGTTCCAAACGCAATTATATTATCAATTATTAATTGCAAAAACGATTTGCCTTTGAATAGCACGAAAAGGGAGACAATAGCCGACTGAATGACATAACATACTGCACCGGTGTTGGACACAACAAATGCCAGAATTTGTTTTGTAGATAATAGTTCCTGTTCTTTTACCATGATTAATATGCGAAGTATTGACAAATAGCAATAGACAATGTTTAGTAAAACAAGTAAAATGTTAACCATAATTTGTATAATTGCCCAGATTTTGGGTAATTTTCCCGTGACAGAGGAACCCAGATATGAATTGCCCGTCCATTTGTGAAATTTGATTAAAATGTTTAATCCGTCAAATGATTTATCGTCCATTTTGAACATATTTTATAAATTATTTCACTAAAAACATAAAATGCACTTTACAATTTATCATAAACTATAATACTTATTAAATGCTGAGATTTTACTAACAATCCCATAATTATAATCATAATGTTTAATAAAATCAATATTTTTTGTTAACATAAACTCGTATATTATAGTGCATGTATTGGGTATTAATTTGTCATATTAAGGATTTTATCTTATTATGATGTTGTCTTTTAGTATAATGTATATATTGGTACCAAAATATTTAATTAATTTTATTATTTATATAATTAAGAAAAATCTAATTAAGATACATTTTTATTTAAACAGTTTCAAAATAACAAAACAATTTAATAAATTGTATGCATGTAAATAGACTAGAATACATGTTTAATAAATCAATATTATTTGTTATCATAAACCCAATTTATATTATACAGTATTTTGTTATAAATATTAAAATAATATTAATGTTTTACCTGAACATGATGTTGTCATTTAATGTAATGTATATAAAGAAATAAATCTAATTAATTAATTTTATTTAGATAAAAATCTTTATAATATTTGAACAGTGAGTTTCAAAATAACAAAAAATTTTAATTAAATAAATGAGTGTAAATACAATAAGTGTTGTGTCCTAACCCCAGGTGACCCAACAATTACTTTAAACATTAACAAAGATTGCACACTTTAAAACAATCCTCGTTATATAACTTTAATGTTTCTAAATTGTTTTAAAATTATGCGTTATTTTATAGTGTGGTCTGAATAATGACCACAGAATATGTGAGTATAAAAGCCAAACACGATATAAATGTTTTAGTATTAATAGCAAACAAATTCATTGCCGACAAACAGAATCTGTGCTCAAAATTCTGTATTTGCATCAAAACTATTCTGTCGTTTGGCGGCAATTGATGTGAATATAAATCCTCTAATCTTAGCATTAATTTCCGAAAACTATTTGGTATTAATTCACAGATTATACATATTGCCAAAATTTGTGGCAAAGTGACAGATATGGATAATAGTGGACGTAAACGGTGTCCATTAAAATTCAGTGCAAATGTGCATAACATTGACATCAATACAATTGTATTATTTGCAAACATAGCCAACAAATAAACTGATATGAAATCATTGAAACGTTTAACAAATTTACAGATTGTGCGAACCCTTTGGTAAACAGTATTTATGTTTAGCATTACGTTTGAATCAAGAATATTCTGTATCTGTTTAGAGATAATAATACTCTGGTATGCAATCAATGAGATGACCGTAAACTGTACGTTAAGGGAAAAGTAAAACATAATTATACTGGTAATGCTAAATAAAATAGATGGACGGATAATAATTAAAAAATTGATAGGCAGAATTGATGATATTATTGATAAACCAAATTGAACCATGGTAACTCGTAAGCCGAGCCTGTGTTCATACTGTTTGTCAATTCCAAACGCAATTATATTATCAATTATTAATTGCAAAAACGATTTTCCTTTGAATAGCACGAAAAGGGAGACAATAGCCGACTGAATGATATAACATACTGAACCGGTGTTGGACACAACAAATGCCAGAATTTGTTTTGTAGATAATAGTTCCTGCTCTTTTGCCTTGCTTAATATGTTAAGTATTGCCAAATAACAAAAGACAGTGTTTAATAAAACAAGTAAAATGTTAATTAGAATTTGTATAATTGCCCAGATTTTGGGTATTTTTCCCGTGACAGAGGCACCCAGATATGAATTGCCCATCCATTTGTGAAATTTGATTAAAATGTTTAATCCATCAAATGACTTATCGTCCATTTTGAAATATTTTATAAATTATTTCACTAAAAACATAAAATGCACTTTACAATTTATCATAAACTATAATACTTATTAAATATGATATGAAGTAACTCTTTAGACTTAGTGGTGATTTAATAATATTTATTAGATCTTAATACTCGAGTACTTTACGTATAATACTTATTATGCACTAGCTGAAATTTTATTAACAATCCCATAATTATAATCATAATGTTTAATAAAATCAATATTTTGTGTTAACATAAACTCGTTTAATATTATAGTGAATGTATTTGTCATATTAAGGATTTTATCTTATGATGTTGTCTTTTAATATAATGTATATACACTGTATATTATACAGTATTGGTACCAAAATATTTATTTTATTTTATTATTTATATAATTAAGAAAAATCTAATTAAGATACATTTTTATTTAAACAGTTTAAAATAACAAAACAATTTAATAAACTGTATGCATGTAAATAGACTAGAATATTTGTTTATCATAAACCTAATTTATATTATACAGTATTAACTTTTGTTATAAATATTAAGATAATAGTAACGTTTTACCTTAACATGATGTTGTCATTTAATGTAATGTATATAAAGAAATAATTCTAATTAATTAATTTTATTTAGATAAAAATCTTTATATTATTTGAGCAGTGAGTTTCGAAATAACTAAAAAATTTTAATTAAATAAATGAGTGTAAATACAATAAGTGTTGTGTCATAACCCCAGGTGACCAAAAAATTTATTTAAACATTAATAAAGATTGCACATTTTAAAAGAATCCTAGTAATATAACTTTAATGTTACTAAATTGTTTTAAAATTATGCGTTATTTTATAGTGTGGTCTGAATAATGACCACAGAATATGTGAGTATAAAAGCCAAACACGATATAAATGTTTTGGTATTAATAGCAAACAAATTCATTGCCGA